ATCCTTCATACTAAAGAGACTGAGGTGATCGAGGTTCAAGGAAAAGTTGCATTGGGCATCATGACTTGTCAAACTGTCCACGCTTCAACTTCAGGAATCAATAATCGGATATAAATCCTGGGCAAGTGCATGCAAATTTGTGTGTGCTTGGTGCTCCTTTTGTACAATAAAGGTTGCTATGAGGTTCGCCGCGGTCAACGAGAGATAGGTGTGCATAAATGATTAACACAGTCAGTCACACTGTTGAGCAGCAGCAATAGAGAGGTGCCCCAGACATTAGCAGTGATATAAGAGAATTAAAGAGAACGCGGACAAAATGAGAAGGGTGTACTATTGGAAGAAAGATGGTACGGTCAAACTGAAATGAAGGGAAATTAATTCAGTAAACTCACAGCGAACAAAACAGTGGAGTAACTGAGGGCAAACAAGGGAATTCGTTTCCGCCAGAATGGAATCACCGGCTCGATATTCTGAAAAGATAAGAAACGACACAAGTTTATCCACACGACACATTTGCTTGTTTTGCAGTAACTTCTGTGTGCCTGTACAATGACACAAAGTGGTAATTTGAACAAAAATTCATCTTAAGGTGAACTAAGGACATTTCGTCGCAACAAACTCAGAAGCATCCAAAAAGGACATTGATGAGACCGAGAACACTTTAATAGAGTTAGAAAAAGCACCGTGGATAGGTATGGGTGATAATAAAATTATTAACCAAGATATCAGAAATAACAAAGTTGGATTTGGAGCAAATGCCGTGTGATTGAATTGCGACACGACATCTCTATTAAAACTTCAGTTCACTTAGAACTAGACCCCAGTCATTCCAATCCCAGGGATCGTGTCCGAAATGGAGGTGTTCCGGTGCTGTTCCTTCCAACACTATCAGCGTTGCTCTTAGTTGATTGCAGCCCACAAAGAATTTGCATAAAGGTTAATGACAGGATGTTTTGGGATGAAGTCATCACACCCATTGAGGATAAAGTTTTAACCAGTAACATTCAAACGAAGCGGTAAACGGTAAACAAATAAACATATCAGATGATATGTGCGTCCTCGTATAACTTGTCAGATAAAATGCCACATATCTGACCGCATATTGCCAAGTTTTCTGCAATCTGATAGATTGTATACCATTTTTGTTTTAATGATGCACAGAGTTAATTCTATTACACGATAATACGCAGAAGCCATAATGTTGTGCTTGGTCCTAGAGAAGCAAAAGACAGCATACATGAAGTTGCGTAGTGGCTTCGGGCTGGGATTGATAGCCGCTGAAGCGAAGTGCTTGGGTGACATTGGTAAAAAAGGGTTTCGGAACATGATCACCTTGCTATCGATTTTGTGACTTTACAAACTTGCGGACAATGTTAACAAAGTGATTATTGAGCGTAAACAAAATCAAAGAGATGAACCAAAAAAGCAAGCACTAGTAACAATACAAATGGTATCCTGAGATCCTAGAAGATGCGCGTCGTTTATCGGATTTGTCAGAACGCTTTAGGCACGACTAGATTGTCAGCAGAATTACCGCGTCACTGCATTGGAATCGAGAACCAGTTAGACGTAAACAACGTCAGTGAGTCAACCTCGTGATTCACTCAAAAATCTGGTTCATCAGCCCGTAGCGAGTAACACAATCAACAAGACTTTTACTACTGCCTGTCCGTAAAAACAACATTTTTGTTAGATTGAACTTGGAATATTTCGTCCGGATGGAATCTGTGTGATCTGAGTTCCATACTTCTTAATGTCTGGTCTGACCGGCATCACTGTGTGTCACTCTGACACCAAACTAATCAATGGTTGAATTGTATTAAATTGTGCGAAGTGTGTATTTAGTGCCTACTGCCGAAACTGGCTATCATGTGCTACAAGCCGAGAGAGTTATAGTTCCGCACGGCCAAGCTGTGCCACCACCCGACGCAGTTACCGAAATCATTAACATGTCCTTAGTTTTGTCGGATTCAAAACCATAAGGCCAAAAATCTCTGTGATGGCTATGGCCAGGCTCATTTGCTACATGTTCAAAGTCCCGGGGACAGAAAAGCCAAAGACTTACGCCTGATATCGGATTACGCCTCCCCATGTAGCCTTTATCTAATAAGGCGAGGAATTCCGGTCTGGCCGGTTGATCTATTGGTTCCAGAGTATGAACCTGCCAGTGATAGCCAAGGGCGAACTGCTGGCGTTTCCACAACTCCAAGAACAGAATAGCTGCAGAAAGAAAAATTCAGTGAAGTTAGTTGCATTTAAGTATGGAAACCATCTTCATGATTTGGTCACAGTATAGTTATGGCACTGCAAGGAAAGGAAATTTAGCAATGCTTAAATACAACCGATTTAAACCACCAGATCAGTTTAGTCAAACAATTGGTTCGAGCACCGAAGTGCAATGGATCCAGTTGCCGAGGCTATTGTGGTCTAAACAACAAAAAAGAACAATAGTGAGCAGGCAAAACAAGGACAGCATACAAAGAGAACGGAATTAACAAGGGAGCGGGTAGAATTAACAGGCGTTGTATATTAAAAACTTGACTTAACTCACTGGATGCAGCAGCGCCACTGGTTGCGCGACTACGCCATGCCCGACAAGTCCTCTAGCCACTGATGTGGCCCAATCAGAGACCCGCATCTACGAAGACTGCAAGCATCAGTCTGACTGTTTTGATGTTAAATCCTCGGAGTTCAGCATAACAACAGTTCGACAACTGATGACACAGATGTTGCATCGGTTCCGCGACTGTTTCTAGTGACTATGATAACAAAGAATCGAGTAGCAACAGTGTTCGTCTACATAGGGAAAACTGCACTGTTTTTGGAACAGTGCAGTGCAGCGCAAACAACGCACGTCGCGGGATTTAGTGTGCTGGCACGCACAAGGCGTGACCCAGTCACCCGAACCTGGTGCGTGATATACGGTGTTAGGCGATTCACTGTAGATCTTCCTGCACCAAATACGAGACGTCTAACATGCTCATTGCTCAAACGGCGTTCTTACCAGATATAATTTAAGATGCTAAGATATCTGTGGTCTGATGCAACAATCCCCACTACGTCTGTCGTTAGCTGGGCCAGATTTCAAAACCTACAGGAGGGTTGAAGTGACAGATACACTGTGGACTTTACCAATCAGAGCAACAGTTATCTCGCACCAGCGCCATAAGTGACGAATTAGAGGAAACGCGCCTCGGCCTTGGATATACGGTTGGTCACATCATCTTGCACCGGCGCTAGTACACCGGCTCAGATAGTTAAACTTTTGGACAACAAGTAAATCCCCACCAAACGTCGGTATGTGGGTGGGCTCCTGCCAGTATTTGACATGAAGGTGCGTTTTAATGAGGCAAAGCAGAGCCAGAAACGGTTGACAGCCCATGTCAACATGACCAATGCTGGTTGGCACGTTTGTGAGCCGTCGCAGATAAAGGCGATGAAGCAAGCCCAACTAGTCCTGTGGCCTTATACAACTCCAATGTTCTGACTCCACGTCCGAATTTTGCGTAGAGTGCTGATTAAAAGGGCAGTCCACGGTAGGTGGCAACCAATGACCAGTAAGGTATCTAATAGTTCCAGAAGATAAAATTGTTTTCAAAGTGCTCAACGTAGCGCTTTAATCGTTTTGACAGGTTGTGTATAGACTGCACACACATCTATAATTTTGCTGACGCGAGGTCTCCCGCTGCCCATTCCGCGTTTCAGACGGAATAACTTCCGATGTTTATCAAGGGCAGCGGCTGTCTCCATTTCCGATGTAAGATGATACCACCAGGTTTCACGGTCGCTTTTCAGGATAGCAGGCAATTTTGCTCCGAAGTCTTTACGAGCCTCCTTGTGCTCCCCCCCCCCACGCATCCTGAACACATCAAAGAAACAATGAGGAGCCCAATAAACCGCATAGAGACGCAATGTTCAGGTGGGCGATTTGATTTGCTACATGAAGACATGCCTACTGCTAATAACCTCGGGTTAACACGTGACCGGAGATCTGAAACTGTGTTCATTGAGCGCATATTCGACCCAAATACCAACGCAGTTTGTTATGTATTCAAAACACCCCGCTTCGCGAGTTGAAAAGTGTCTGTGCGCTCACAAAGTTGCTGAAAACGTCTAAGGAGACCAGCTCGGAGATCGGCACATGCAAGCACATGGTCAAAGTCCACGCTTGTGCCCCAAATTGAGCGACAGTTTCAAACACGGTCTCTTCAGCGATGTGGTTTATCTGAATTCACGGCTAGTGTGACGACATAACTACGACAAATCTAATTGTCACAAGAAATGTATATAAATAACATTACTTCTAGTAATAAACCTAAAACCCGGGACATGAATCGTTTATAACACCGGGCCGGATAATTGATGAAAGGACTAGATTCGGCCGCACAATCATTACGAACAATACTTGCAAGACTGAATGAATACTGAGTGACTGAGCTTTTATGCGAATGGCAATATAAAGGTAGGTTGAACAAGAACAGATCCTGAATTATCAACATAATAAGAGTCAAACTTAAAAACCGGAAAAACAGCGAAGTAAAGATACTAGTGGAAGTTCGTCTAACCATAGGTACAAATACACTTTATACGTGATAGAAAATATCACACAGGTATGTGCTACTCCTACAATCTGCTCCAAGAATTGCGTCCTAAACTTAGTTTGCTCAGAAGTCGAGCTGGATTCTCTCAGGGCATTTGATAATATCTCCGCCTCATGGTTTGTTTACCATGAGCCTATACTCTGGGCGACCATGAACTGCACCACTGTTCCCGGAAAAAGAACTCGGTGTACTAATACAAGAAGATCTCAGTTGTTCGGGGAAATCTGCGCTAGCATCATAAAAGGGTGTCCAAAAATTGAGGCTATTAAAGAGAGCTTTCGGTCCCTGGCCAAACTGTTTTCTCACAGCTGGTTTCTACATACCTACGCCCGCACGTGGAATCTCCAATTCATGCAAGGAGCACCGAAAACGAACAGCAACTGAGTATTTTGGGAGTCTTCAGTGGACGCTATGGGTGCTTGCGTGGTGATCTCATCATAGTTAACCAAATTTAAAGCAACCTGAATCCCTCGTTCTACCAGCAGCTAAAACGCAGCCATAAAATAGGCGGAGTAGCCACCGTCACAGACTGGCATTACAATAGGGCAAGTTAGAGCGTAGACGGAATTTACGCTCGCGACGTGTTTGCCACAAATGGATTTAAGCACCGGAACCGGTTGTTTTAGCCCGTACATTCCTATTCAATTCAATGCAATTCAAGAAAGTGCTTCATACACCCATAAGGGTGAGTATTCAGCTGCTACATGCACGCTTTCAGTAAAAGGAAATAAAGCAGTAAATATAAAGTATATTAATGTGGCAGTAAATGTTTTCAAAGATCAAGTCTACAACGCGTTAGTCACGTTATACCCAAGCCGTACCAAGTGACAATCGTTTGTCTGAAAAATCAAAAACTGAGGTTTTAAGTTGCATATAACCATATGTGGACGGTTTATCAGACGGACTGAAGTTTGCTATGCAAGTTCACTGTTTTCGGTTATTCCCTGTTTATGGTTGTGCTTCCTTTTCTTTTGAAAACCAAAACGCGCCATCCTGTGGGATATGCTAAGCTTAATCCTTTTGCTTCGCAATAAACCATTGAGTATACTCTTACTCTTAAGCCTACGATGCCAGATGATTGTAATCTAATCCTTTTCCCACGAAACCGTGCAACTGCGCTAGCTGTTTCGGTGTGTGTGTGTGTGTGTACTTATAGTATAAAGAGGAGAGTACAACAGCTGACGGCCTAACATCACATTTGGAAGGAATTTGCAAAGCCGCAAGCAAAAATCTGTCAGATGCCCTATTCTGTAGCAAACTTGGTGAACATGTCAATACATCCGGGAGCGGTTCTGTCTATCTTGCTCGGAGTTGATTTGTGCGATTCGTATGAGGCGAAATAGTTGGAATATGATTATCTTTCCCCCACATACAGCTACCAATGTGAGATTTAATGGACTAAGGTAAAAGGTTGGATTAAACACATTGCAGGATATTCCGTTGTGCTGGATATAGTCCGCTTCCTTATGTTATCGACACATTTAATATTACACGGTAGCCTACACAGCGCCTATAGGCGAGAGAGAAAGATTGTCCGGCCGAAATAGCCTGGGATGGCAAAAAATGAGGGTACGGAACTGCTGCTTGAAGGGAAAATTTCGGAACGTTCTTCCCTCCGGTCATCCGTATCTCACGTGTCTCGTCAACGCGAACGGGCATCTCGCTTGCTCGTTCAGGCCACCAGTCTGAGACCGCTTTGACTACCGGTAGACCGTAAAAACCGGTCTGGCAGAATCTTCGGTGCCGCACCAATGTGCGTCTGAAGGAAACCCAACGTGTTGTCCCTTAAGACAAACCGTCCCATCGACACCTCGTGTTTCGCCACAAACATCTATACGACTGCACTTGTGCACAACGTCATATTTGTCACTCTTCCCTATGGTGTGGCAGCATGTGAAGTGCACGCTCGACCTCTAACTGCACTGCCTGACGGCCAAGCTAGGGATGAGACCCAGCCGACCACATGATCCAGAACACACAAGAAGCTTACTCGGCTCCGAGTGCAGACGGATAGGCAAGCCACTAACTGAAGAGGTAGATACGTTTCGTTCACCAGCCATTTCCTTGTGGTGCTATAGTTCAGCAGCCTGGCGATGGGTACGATGGTAGCGTACTGAGCCATTCTGGCAGCCCGTATCGCATGAGCTGTGGTGGAGTCAGCAACGTGTACATGCGCTATTGGCCTATCTTGCATGCCATAGGATAGAGGGAGCGCACTCAGCCTGTTGTTCGCTATGACTAGGCAAGAAAGCGCACGCGCTAGGCTGAATTAGCAATACATGCTATGCGCTTTGCTAAACTTACCATAGGATAGAAAGTCAGCAGTCAGGCTATGACTAGACAAGAGCAGTGGAATTCTTGCTTTTCGGCTTTTAGAATTCTTGCCATTTGGTTATCGGAGCACTGTCTGGGCGATGGAGCATGAGCATATTCTGCGTTATGTTTCCTTCCGACGCGCATTGGTGCGGCATAGAAGGTGCAGTTAGACCAGTTTTTTCGGAATACCTGTACATCCACAACGGGTTCGCTCAAGGCAGGGGACGTGAACTGACATCTTCACTGCTACATCTGCGTTCATCCATAACTGCGAAGACTTCGTTTAACTTTCACATCCAAAGC